TTTTCCCTCATTAACCTCCCCCCCCCCTTCATTGAATAAGTCACAAGTGTGGGGTAAATTTTGAATAAATTTTTAATAAAAATTCTCTCTAGGTCTCGACTTTTTTGAGTTTTTCTAAACTTACACCACAAAAGACAGTAAAAACTGAATTTTGGATGGAGATTTTGTCCGGCCAAGATAATCTGGGCCGAGTTTTGCTATGACACGATATTCTCCATAGAAATTTTGAATAATTTCAGTTTTGAAAATATTCATTCTTTTGATTGTATTTGTAAATTTATTTGATAAAATTCCATTTGATTAAATTTTTATGCAAAATAGAGTGCGGGCAAGAACTTTTTACGCACCCTGTAAATAAAATTTTATTTATTTATATAACTTTTTGAATTTCTAACTAACCAAAAAATATTTTTAGTCGAATTTATCCATATAAAAAATCTTTGTAATAATTGGAATTTAATCCAGAGTTACAATATTTTCCCTGATGCGTTTCCAATGTTGTAAAAAGCAATGAAATATGTATGTATTATTAAAAAAGTTTCAAAATTGTTGACATAACATCGTAATTATTAGGGTTGAGCCAAACCGGTTAATCGCTTACAAATACGTTGATCGGGTGTTTTTGCGAAATTAACCGGTTACGATATTTAGTCTCTAAAAAGACGGTAAATTATTTTTAAATAAATTTAAAATTTTTATTTTGATAATATGTTAAATTCATAAAAAAAGAAACAATTCATTGAGTTTTATAAAATTTATTAGAGCAAATTGACCATTTTATTTATCATTTTCTATTTTATGTTTTTCTTTGTATAAGATTAAAAAGAGTTACTAAAAACAATTTTTATTGCAATACCTCAATTTATGACTTAGATTTCTGAAATATAAGAGCCTCCTACGGTTCCTTAGAATTGGTTTGGATGAGAAAAGAAAAAAATTTCTGTTCGTAGAGCGATTTGTAAAAAATTCTCTAACATTTTGTTTGGAAAAGCTAATGCTAAAATCAAATGTCTAAAATTTACATATTATTTTTAAATTAATCCAAAATTTAAAATTTATGTTTTGAAAATATGTTAAATTTATTTAAAAAAGAAAAATCCATTGAGTTTTATCATTTTATTAGAGCATAATGACGATTTTATTTATCATTTTCTATTCTATTCTGTATATATTTCTTTGTATAAAGTGAAAAAAAATTGCTAAATCAATTTTTATTGCAATAACTTATTTTTGACTGATTTTGCTGAAATAGAAAAGCCGCCTACGGTTCCTGAAAATAGGTTTGGAAGAGCCTGCGAAATTTAATTTTTGTAGTTTTTCTCAAAATTTTGTGCTTTGGTCAACATTAGCATTTTTTCTAATGAATAAACTTTAAAATAAATAAATACAAACAATTCCCCGAAATATTTTATACAAAGATTAAATATTTAAAATTTACAAAAGAATGAAAATAGAAAAGAGAAATAGATTTTAAATAGACAGAATTAAATAAAGAGGTTTTTTGGGGAATCTTTTTTGGATTTTTTGTTTTTTTATATTTTTTCAGATTTTTTAATTTTGTTCATTTTTTGGGTTTTATATTTTATGATTTTTTTATTTTTTTTAATTTTGAGGATTTTTTTTGGATTTTATTTTTTTTAATTTTTTTGGATTTTTTATGTTTTTATACTCACTTGAGTCCAATTAGAAAATAAAAAACCACAAAAGTCCGGATTTACACTCTCCAGATAAGTTCATCTTTTAAATCAAAACCGAGACCAATTTTCTTTAATTTCTCATTTAACTTAACAACATTTGGATGGAAAATAGTTTTCAGTTCTGCACGACATGTTGGACATTTGTTATAGTTTCTACCACCTCCGTCAAGAAACCAAGTTTTTATACATTCCGGATGGAAAAAGTGGTTGTGGTGTTTGTTGGGGTCCTTTTCATCTATACAATCAGTCATGGAAATAGCTTCATCTTTTTCATAATCTTCTTGACAGATCGGACATTCCATACCTTCAACTTTTTTAAGTACGATCTGCTTCATTTCTTTCTAAAAAAATAAAATATTTATTAAATCTATACATATGTTTTTATTTAAAAAATTATTAATAAAAGGAAGGCAATATTTTCTAGTTTTTTAACCTTCCAAAAAATATAAATTTTACTTAAAACCATTTAAATAACAATTACTAAATAATTAATAAGACTTAAATACTTTTAAATGCAAAAATTATGAGTTTATAATTACAGGCAATCTTTAAATATTTATATTGAAACCGTAAATCTCTCATAACTATTAAATTTAGGCTGCACCCCCTCTCCCTTCCCCAGATTATCTAATTTCAAAATAATTCGACAAATATGTACATATTAACCCTTGACTGTTTTTTTAATCATTGTGAGAGAAGAAAGAAGGAGAAGACAAGAAAACTTGCGGATAAACTTTTGCGGACAAACATTTGCGGACGATTGGGGGATATAATGCAATAGTACCAAGCATAGTTTGACAGTATTAAATTTCACAAAGGTATTTTTATTAATATACATGGACTTACTAAGCAATTTTCTCGAATTTCAATACTAATTTCAAATAAATAATTTTGACAGTATTCCCTAGTTGTTTTAACAGCCATCTGATTACTAATTATTTGATTTTTGGTCTTTTTCAATTGACTTTTCGACATTCCTTGTTCTACCAACGATTCTTCTAAAAATTTCTCAAACTAAAATAATTAAATTAATATTTTTTAAATTAGTGTTGCACGAAGTTGAGGCCTCGCCGAAGTCGAGGCCGCAGTTTCATCCACGACTTGATTGTGCTACCTTACACCGAAACTGAGGGTCTCAACTTTAAAATTCACCGTGCTCATACTAAATTTTTATAAATACCGATATTTTAATCCAGTACTCGAATGGCTTCGAGCGGTTATATACCATTTTTTGAATCAACGTTACCGATTTTTTGATACGATACAAAGAGATAAATTCGATAACGGTGTTACCCCATCCCAATATCAACGCCATTATCGATATCGTTATCATCATCGCAATACTATCGCAATACCGATTTTATGTCTAAATCACGATACAGCTCAATTCTAGTCCGGTTACATCCCATAGAAAGCAAAATATTGATGTAACGTTATCCTGAATGCTATGAGATGCAGGTTGTTTAACGCTTAATCACCCCACAACCGATTTGCTGTTGGAAAGAAACTTCCCTAGCCTTACAATTTGTATAAAAGTTTTATTCAATGAGAAAGTTTTAATTATCAACATATTTTATACAAAATATTAAATAAACAAACCTGTTTAGGAATATCAGTAATTCCTTTATCAGAAAGATTATTCATCAAAATAAAACAATTGTGAAATTCAATGTATTTATCAACATCTTTTGATGCAGTATAGTCTCTAATCAATTCTGCACGAACACTTTGTATTTCTTTTTTCTCATGTTCGGAAAATGTAAGTCCAACATTACTTGAACTTGAAGCTTCCCCATGTGCACCACGACTTGAAGCACCAACCCTATCTCCTCCAACAATACCAGATCCAAAGCCTCTAGCTCCAACATGCCTTGAGCTAGGAGCTTCACGACGTCCACCACTTCCTAAACCTTGAGATCCGCCACTTGAATTTGAAGGCAAAATTAGAATAAATGTTATAAAAAAAATTTGAATGATTTTAACTAGGGTTGGTCCCCGAGCCTTCGGGGTTGGAAAAGTCGGGGGTCGGGGTTTTCGGGGTTGACAAAGTCGGGGTCGGGGTCGGGGTTGCTCAAATTGTTCGGGGTCGGGGTCGGGGCTGAAAATAATATCGGGGTTCGGGGTCGGGGTCGGGGTCGGGGTTGAAGTGAAAATTTACAAAATCCAGCATTTTTATCCAAAATTACTGTTCAAAATCAACATTTTTATTAAAAAATCAACTTAATCTTCATTATCTTCACTTTCTGTATCTAATTCGTGATAAGTTGAAGGCGCAAGAAGTACTTTATCCAAGTTATCCTTCATAATCCCCAAAATCCCCAAACCCACAAGGTAACTCTTACTCCACCTCTTATGTAAAGGGATTGAGGGGATATGAAGGCATATCAGAGGATTAAGATGGATATAATGGGATTTAGAAGGATTTGACGGGATATCGGGGAGTTGCAAGGATAACGGGAGAAATCCATCTATCCATCAATTTCTCCTAAAGCCTCTGTATCCCTTCATTGAGTCTAGCGCCGCAGGCAAAAATTTTGAGAATTTTGGAAAGCCAAGAGACAGATTTCTTCAATTTTCTGCACCGCAGGCGAAAATTTTGAAAAATTCATGACTAGTTTAAAATTTTTAATATTGTTTCAAGTTTAAAATATTTAAAAAAATAAATTTGCAAATTTAAAATCAAGATCATAGTTTAAAAATATTTATTTTTGAGAAGAAAAATTTTCTCAGCCTTATTTTCATCCCTGGATTCGAACAACATTCCTATCAAAATAGCTAGATGGCTGAAGTCAGTTAACCTAACCACTCAACCATCGACCAACAAAAGGAAACAGGAGAAAATATAAATATTCCTTTCCCTTTTCCTTCATATATTTAGCATCAAAGTCCCGATCCCGTTCCGATCTCTAGTTAATTAATGCAGTTTGAGTCGGGGGCATAAAAATTTTTCGGGGTTCGGGGTCGTCGGGGTCGAACTTTCGGGGGTCGGGGTTTTCGGGGTTGGGAATGTCGGGGTCGGGGTCGGGGTTTTAGGTCAAAAAATGTCGGGGTTCGGGGTCGGGGTCGGGGTTAGTCGGGGTCGGGGACCAACCCTAATTTTAACATTTTGCATACAAACAGAATTGCGGCTTTTTTTCGACTGAATCCACAAATGGTGCTTGTATAGACAATAATTATACCCCGAAAATTTTTGCCTGTCCCGATAAAATGTGGAAATCGTTGATAAATTAACGAAATGTATTGACTCAAGCTTCGTGCTACCTTTATGAATCCCAAGTTGTTTGTGACCATATGTAATTTAGAAAACTTGGAATAGATTTAATCAATGTGTTTAATCATGGACGATTGCATGTGGCCCTTACCTTTGTAAATTTCCTGAAGTTGAGGATCCAGCACTTTCTCCGACACGTGATCCAGCACTGCTTGAACTTGAAAGTCCACTACGCCCTCCACGATCTGCGCGACGTCCACCAAGCCCACCACCATTCGTTCTTGGAAGTAAAATTAGTATAAATAGTAAAAGGAGAAGAAAGTTGGATGATTTTGACATTGTAAATGATTGGAAATTTCTCGTTTTCAACCAAAATATTAAAAAATAATTTTATTCATCAAATTTTATCGAAATACATAATTTTTAAAAATAATTAAAAATTTGAAAATTAAAAATGGTTGTGGAATCATTACATTACCCACACATCAAATCTAAACAATGGGTTAATGTTTTAGACCCCTATCTAAGTGAGACAACTCTAAGTTCGGAAATGCCTGTAGACCGAGATATAATCGAAAATAGAAAAACCATATGGGCCCGAGAGTAAGCTCAATTTTGGGGTAAAAAATTATAATAAGTGATGAATCAAACTCTTTTATGCTCGTAAAGCATATTCTAGTAATTTAATGCCCTAATGATAAGAATAACTAAAAGCCTTTACCCAGAAATAATTGAAATATTCAAGTAGTCCCAGTCGAGGCAACTCAGAAAATTGTTTTTGGGAATGGGCCTAGGTGGAGATTTACAACTTATAATTTAATTTATTAAAAAAAATTTTTAATAGACGAAGGCAAATGAAATGAATAATAATGGGCAGAATTATTGGTTTAAATATACAAGCCGGCCAAGAAAGTAAATTTTAATTAAGTCAAGGCCCGCTCAACATTATTATTTGTAGTTTGACGCACGCGCGAAAAAGCCAAATCCTTATCTTAAATATTAAGCAGAGTGCCTTTTTCGCAATCAGAATGGTAAGTCGTCTCACAAGTCCTTTCACCCCTCTCCCTCGTTTGCCCATCTCAAAATGGATTTAAATCTTTACCTAATTATAGTGAATTAATTTTTCTGCCCACTCTCAAAAGTGCAGGAAATGATGAAATCAGTCGTTATCTGGGTAAAAAAATTAATAATTAATATTAATAATTTTAAAATATAATTCTTTACTCTCTATATTTTTCATTAGTTTTAACTAAATTCTGAAGGCGAATATTTTGTAAGACTTAAAAGACAACTAAGCAAGCTATTTTCCTTTTATCGGCGGACTCATCGTGTCAGATCAAAAATTATTCCGCATCTTCAACAAACAAGATAGACCTATGCTAGACCTATGGAGCATTGGCGAGGCGCATGTGCAAAACACCGCGCATCGCGCTGGGTTCGCTGGGTTCTATAACATAAACATAAATCTATCCCTTTTTCCATTACTAGCCTTGATCTTACCCACGTAGCTCTCAAAAATCTGATTGTAATCATAAACTGTGATTGGATTCTAAAATTTAGTAGAGGCAAAATTTTTACTTAGAATAATAAAACATGTTCGGATATGAAAATTTGATTGGACTCATAAAGTTTCTTTGGACTCATAAATTTTGATTGGACTCATAAAGTTTTATTTGGACTCATAAACTTCGATTGGACTCATAAAGTAAAGTAGAACCGGATTTTCTTCCGCCTCTGCTTTTTCGACCCTTCCACTTTCGCATCTAGCATCATACTTGGGCTTACAAATCTAATGACGGCCATTATTTTTGAAGAAATTTATTCTCGAGTTCCAAAAATTTTTCCTAGCGATACTAAAAATTAAAGAAATTTGGCTTCTCCACCTTACAATTAGATCAAATCGAGCTATTGAGTCCTAAAATGTAAAATTACCGTCTGGAACGCTAGAAGGTTTAAATAACTTTTGCTTCAAATAAGCAAGTCGGCTAAAAAAAGTAAATTTTAATATTTCCAAGGCATTCGACTCAGTTTTCGAAATTTTGATTATAACTTTAATCGTATTTCTACCCCGCTCAACATTATTATCTGCCATTTGACGCACGCGCAAAAAGCCAAATCCTTACCTTAAATATAAAGCAGAGTGCCTCTTTCGCAAGCAATAGGGTAAGTCGTCTCACAAGTCCTTTCACCCCTCTCCCTCGTGAATTCGATTTAAATCTTTACCTAATTATAGTGAATTAATTTTTCTGCCCACTTTCAAAAGTGCAGGAAATGATGAAATCAGTCAAAATTAAAGTTAAATGATTTATAATTAATAATAATAATTTTAAAATAAAATTCTTTATTCTCTATATCTTTCTTTAGTTTTAACTATATTCTGAAGGCGAATATTTTGGAACACTTAAAAGACAAATAAGCAAGATCTCTTCCTTTTATCGGCGAACCCATCGTGTCAGAGTGTCAGATCAAAAATTATTCCGCATTTCAAGACATAACGAATGATAAAAGAATTTGATAAGGAAATCATATTCGTACAGTAACAATTGGGCGGACACGAAAAAATAAAAGCACAAAAAAAATAAATACAAAAGAAAAGAGAGAAATAGTGTGTTACAAGATAAAAAAGAAAATTATAATGTAATTTTGCCTAAATCGCGGTCTAAATTCAATTTGGCCGGCCAAATTGAATTTGTCATAAAATGTAATACGTATATGAATTTTTCACCTCAAAGTGAAGTTTACTCCCCACTATGGTTTTTCAATCTTTCGAGACGTATAACTTGGTCCAGAATCATTTGCTAAAGTAGTAACAATGTAATAATATGTAGTATTATCTTAATTTTCATTACACTTTCATAGAGCCGCTCTATATGAGACGACTTCATTTAAATTGAAATTCATTTGTTAACGTTTCGTGGCTGTCTATAACTCGCTGCGCAATTCTGCGACATTTTGTTAATTTTAGAAGCTTATTCATGTTTTATTTTTTTCATTTTTTGTTAGTTATATTAATCCTCAAACCACAGTGACCCTTTTACCACCTTTAGGAAGCATTTGCCCCTTCCAAACATAATTTTGTAAGAAATCCGCTAGAATTCAATTCAATAAACATTTATTTAAAAAAATATTTCATAATTATACACGTGAAATGAATATGTAAATATTAGATAAAAAATAAATTGATTTAACTCGTGTTTATTAAAAAGTTTTGTCTATTCACATACAAAAGAATAATGCCGACTAAAATTGACCTTTTACTATTTTGAAATTTTTTTTTTCAAAAATAAATTTAAATTACAAGTGTTATTGCTAGAATTATATTTTAATTTCTTGAATAATTTTATTAATTATTAACTGAGAACCTCTCCTTATTCAAACTAAAAATAGTAATGCTGAAAATGATAAAATCAAGCAAGGTATAAAAAATTTTATTTGTTAATTAATTTCAATGATCATCCAATACAAGTTATATTTAAGAGCGACATCCAAAATTGTCAGAAGACGAAAAGGAAAATTTTGATAAAATTATTGAAAATAAAAACCATCAAAACAAGGAAATGCTAACTTTATTCATTATATTTATAACACGATTAAAAATAACTCGATTGATCAATGGAATGATTTTATAAATTTCTGGCAAAAGGAACATCAAGATTGAATTTTTAATTTAACAATTTCTGTTTGTAAAAAGATTTGTAAAAATATTCTTTAACGTTTTATGTGGAAAAGCTAAAAGCGAATTACTTTCTAAAATTTCATATTATCTTTAAATTAATCCTAAATTTAAAATGTTTGCTTTAAAATATGTTAAATTCGTTTAAAAAAAGAAAAATTCATTGAGTTTTATAAATTTTATATGAACAAAATGCCGATTTTATTTATCATTTTCTATTCTATATTGTATATATTTCTTTGTATAAAGCGAAAAAAATTCCTAAAAACTATTTTTATGGCAATACCTTTTTTTGACTAATTTGTCTGAAATAGAAAAGCCGGCTACGGTTCCAGAGAATAGGTTTGGAAGAGCCGGCTACATTTAATTTTTCGTAAACTTTCTCATAATTTTGTGATCTTTTGTCAACATTAACATACCTACTAATCAACAAACTTTAAAATAAATACAAAACAATTCCCCGAAATATTTTATACAAAAGAAAAATTTACAAAAGAATGAAAATAGAAAAGAAAAATAGATTTTAAATTGACAGAATTAAATAAAAGTTTTTTGGGGAATTCTTTTCTGGATTTTTTGTTTTTTTATTTTTTATATTTTTTTTAAATTTTGTTCATTTTTTGGGGTTTTAAATTTTATGATTTTTTTTAGTTTTTTTAATTTTGAGGATTTTTTGGATTTTATTTTTTTTAATTTTTTTGGATTTTTTTGATTTTTATACTCAATAGAGTAAAATTAGTAATAACTAGGGTTGTCGGTTTTCAGAAAATATTGGTTAGAAACGATTCCAGGCCCACGTTTCCGCGCTAGTTCTTAAAATTAGTTTTCACTACATTTTTTACTAGAAACATCATATAAATACAATTAATTGCAACTTATCCAAAAATTGATTTTCAAAAAAATTTTTTTCTTGAAATCTTAAACCAAAGGCCAGAAAATATACTGGCGCAGAAACGTGAGCGCGGAATCGTACCCACCGAGGAATTTTTTGTATACTCGGAACGAACCGATATTGGGGAATAGTATTGTCAATAAATTTAGTTTAACTAAATAGAATGATTCGACGTTGGAATTCCAGAAGGATTATAACCCAGTAAATGTACATAATTCATAATTTGACAGACAGTTTTTGGTTAAATTTTGGAATTTCAGAAGGAAAAACCCTTAAACCATCATTTGTAATGGAACTATTACAAAAACCTAACCAGTATTGACTAAAAATTTTGGATATCTGAAATCGAACAGAAGATCGGTTTTGTTCCGGCTGACAACCCTAGTAGCAATAAATAAAATGAAAAATAATTAGCTTATATTTAAAGAATTTTTTTACTAATCATCTCTTTCATGTAAAGACCAGTTAGTTCGAAAACCAATTGCTTCTAATTTTTCAGTTAGCATAATAACGTCTGGATGCAAAATAGATAACAGATCTGCACGACATGATGGACATTTGTTATAGTTTCTCCCACGGCCTTTATTATACCAATTTACTATACAGTCTTTATGGTAGAAGTGGTTACATTGAGTCATTTCAATGACATCATCTTCTTTATAATCAGCAAGACAGAGTCAAAATATTCAAATATTTGTTAAAGTCAAAATATTTGTTATTCAAATTCAAATATTTGTTAAAGTCAAAATATTTGTTAAAGTCAAAATATTTGAC